CTCATACAACTCTTATCACAATCCATACATACATCAATTGTGTAAAGCACATTTGTACATTCATTGCCCTCATCATTCTCAAATCATTTGCTCTCCACATAAGCCCCTGGCATCAGCTCCTCACTTTACCCCCTGCCTCCCCGCTCCCCCCTCCCTTATGAACCCTTGATAATTTAGACATTATTATTATTTTGTCATATCTTATACTGTCCGACGTCTCCCTTCACCTACTTTTCTGTTGTCCATCCCCCAGGGAGGAGGCCGCATGTAGATCCTTGTAATCGGTTCCCCCTTTTTAACCCACCCTCCCGGTATCGCCACTCTCACTATTGGTACTGAAGGGATCATCCATCCTGGATTCCCAAGTTAGCATCTTAATGGGTTCTTTTCAAACACAGTATTTTGAAGGACAGTTTAATGTCTTACTGAATGACTTTACCACAGTTTATGTAATGATCTCCTTACTTGGGGTTTTAGGACAACGGAAATCCAAAAGTATCCTATCCCAGTTACTCCAAGGTTGAAAGAATGCCAGTGTCATAATCCAAATCCACACTGAAAATTGAAAACAGATACATTGCTTTTGTGAAACTGTCCAAACGATAAATTCAGGTGTGTTGAAACTGCCCTCTAAGCAATTCTAAGTCAGAGAACTTGCTTCACTTATCCTATGACTTTCAGCTATCGCCAATCAAAACTTCTGGCTCCACAGACCTGGGACTTTCAATTAGGAAATAATTTATTTTTACGGGTCAGAGGCTCCCAACGGTCCCAGCAATGGGAGGTTGGTCAAAGCACAGGGCTGTTCATCAAATCAAGCTGCCACTTTTGTCCAAAGAGCCATTGCCTTTTGTGGAATGAAGGCTGCTTCTGCTGTGTCCACACCCCGTGTTCCTGCCAGAACCCCCAACCTCACCAGGGGGATGAGATGGGGAGAAAGGTGGGCGTGGACCAGTGTGATGGAGCAACTGCAAGCAGCACAGCTGACAGGGGCCCGAAACGATCCTGTACCATTGAGTCCCACCGTCTCTCTCATCAGCTGAGTGTGTGTCTGCGTGTGTCCTTCACACACACATGCACACATGGGAACACACACACACAGTAATTAATTACTTCGCAGTGAGATCAAACAGTCTTACATGTGTTGATCCCAGACAGGCTGCGAGACCATGTGGAAGAAGCAGTGCAGAGAACAGAGGGGTTCAAACAAGGGCAAATTGGACTGGATACAGCAATGGGATGAAAGACAGTTGGCACCAAGCCAAGACACTCCATTTTGGATTCTAAAAGGATATAAGCTTATCTTCCAGGGACATTAGCACCCATTGTTATTGCACAAAAGTCTACATAAAGTGGGTCCCCTCGCATACCTTAAGGCACAGGATACAAAACCTATGTCAATGAAATAGCATGTGCTTAGCTAATGACAGGCAGTAGACCTTCTCAGGACCCAGGGCTCTCAGTACGTTACGTAACATCTCACCTGTTTGGTTTTTTTTCTTTTTCTAGTTATCACTGAAACAGTAACTACAAGACTTACATCCTTACCACCAAGTAAGTGGCTAAGTGACGTCCCCCTTTCTCGGTAAATCATGTGTAAAGGACGCCACACATATCGCTTCCTCCACGGAGTTCACTGCCCAGTGAACAAATTCAAAATAGCTGAAACATTTTTTAACAGCTGTATTGAGATACAATGGAGAAAGATAGGGCTTTCTACTCCCATAAAGAGTTACAGTCTTGGAAATCTATGGCGTCTTTTAGTCTGTCCTATAGGAGGGCCAGTGCAGGATTCCATGTCAGTGAGTGAGTGATTAAGTTATAACTTATATACTATAATATACACCTGAGTCAAATATACAAATAAATGAGTTGTAGTATGTTGATCGAGTTAGGCAACCATCACACCAAGAAACCTCACAACAATTAGCAGCTCTTCTCCAATCCCCCTTTCTCTCCCCTCTCCTCTTGGAAATCACAAATCGACTTTCTGCTTCTATAGACTTGTCTGTTCCGGACACCAAAATATCCAAAACTTTATCCAACCTGAGAATGAGCAGAGGAGGGCAGAGAGTCACCAGACGAGTGTGTGTTTTCCAAGACGGTCCTTGGGTTGAAGGGATTGGATTGTGTAATACACAGATCTGACCCCTAAACTCCTCCCAGAGAAGTCTGGCTTGAAAGTGGCGGCAGAAGCCCAACCATCAGCAGGTGGTGAGAGTAGAGCCGGGCTGCCAGGTAGAACATCAGCAACCCCAAGCTGCCACCCACCCAAGTCGTAGCTCGAGTACTCACCAAGCATTTGAAAAAAAGCCAACTCAACCTAGGTCCTAGCCCCAAGGAGTTTTTCACCCATCAGCTGCCTTTTGTAATCATTGAACTTTCTAAAGAGCCTCTTCAGGAGCCCTGGTGGCAGTGTGGGCTAGGCAAGGGACTGCTAACCACAAGGTCAGCAGTTCAAAAGCACCAGCTGCTCCAAAGGAGAAAGACAAAGCTTTCTACCCCTGTCAAGAATGACGGCCTGGGAAGCCCCCCGAGGCAGATCCACTCTGTCTCCTCACGTGGCTATGGGTCAGAATCACTTGGAGCAGTGAGTTTGCGTTTGGGAGATGGGTTTGAGTTGACTGGGAGGCAGTGGGTTCAGGTTCAAGGGTTAATGAGCAGCTAGCTGTGCTCCAACCAGAAGACTTTAATGATTCTGAGTCTTCACTTTTGACATTTGTATTAAAAAACAAACAAAGCCAGAGATGGGCAGCTTGCATCTTGGGGGGCGAGGGGGGGTACAGAAAATAAATAAATAAATAAAAGACCCCAGGGGAAGTGTCCTTGAGGGGAAGTGAGGGGAGACTAAACTTACATAAGCTGGAGGACAAGGAGGTCCCCTGGCCTGACTGCCCGCAACGTACCACTTGCTCCCTGTTTCTGCAGAAGGGGGGACCAGCAATGGCTATTCCAAAACAGGCTCTCTCGGCGGAGGGGGTCGGCTGGAGAAGCAGAGCCTGACCCATGGCAGCAGTGGCTACATAAACTCAAGTAAGTGTCCTTGGTGAAAGGGACTGTGGTCAGGGAGACGGAAAAGTCCCAGCAACAGTGAGGAAAGGGACAATGCTATCCTCCATCCCCAACGCCCCAAACAAGAACAACCCACGGAGCTTGTGACCCTCCAGTCTTGGAGGCGACTCGAAATGTGATCAGTTTCCTTTAGGTCGCCAATAGAAATCACGCGTTAAGGAGGCTTCATGGAGAGTTGGCTCTTTCCCCGCCGAATCACTCGCTTGAAGCCAACCCAAGAGAAGGGTGGCAATTCGAACAACAACATTAACTTAACGATTAGGTTACGTCCAGGAAAAAATGGTAACATGCCAGCCTACCTTGTGCGAGTGTCCCGGGGGCAAGCATCGGCACAGGCCCAGAGCCCCCATGGCAGCGCATTCTTTCACGGTGGTTTTCAAACTCACCCAAAAGCAAAGTGACTAAAGGACACCCCATACACAAGCACAGACGCACAATCCCTGACATCATTTAAAAAACAAACAAAGAAGGCCCAAGACATACAAGTGGCTGGATTAGCCCAAAGGTCACGTGCCCTTACTAGTGGAGAAGCACTTCCACACCTGGGGGTATTCTAGTCCATCCAAACAGCCCTCTACAGTGAAATGCTGGGGAGTCCTCAAGCAGCACCCTGTGCAGTCCTCTCTCTTCCCGTGCACGGGACCTGGTGCAGGAAGATGTCCCTGCCTTTCAGTGGGCTGCTCCAGTGGGGCACTAGCAAGAATACTACCTTTCCACGTCCGCCCAAGCAGTCATGAAAACACCGATCCTTTCCATCGCCCTCTCCTGACCTCCCCTGGCCCTTTCTACAGGACCCTGGTTTAATCATGGGCAGCTTGCATGAGTACCTGGATTTCAGCTGCCGTTTGCTTCCTCTCTGGCGCAGTACGAGGAGGGTTGATGACGCTTCTCCCCGCTTGTAGGTGGAAGCACCAGAGGCAATGCCTCCACCTCCAGTTACAGGAGGGCTCGGTCACCTGCCTCGACTCTGCCCAATTCGCCAGGCTCAACCTTTGAACGGAAAACAACTGTCACCCGCCATGCAGCGTATGAAGGTATCAGCCTCACACACCTTAGAAGAGACTCGTTCCCAAGCAACTTGACCCCCTCCCAGGCTGTTTTAAATATGGGCCAGCTGTGTCCACCTGGGCCTGCCCCCTTACCTTTCTCTCCACTCCTTCATTTCCCTCATGAACTCGTTTACCCATCATTCAGCTATCTGCCACGCTGAATGTTCCACTATGTGGAATGCCTTAATGGACGTTTAAAGGAATCAGTCTTGGATCATGTTTTCAAGACACCTATAGTCTAATGGACAAGCTAAGGTGACGAATATAAGATTACAATGCAAAGTAGCAGGGGGTAGCTATTTTTAGCAGAGAAAATCAGGGAAGGCTTTCTGGAGGAGGTGATGTGTGAGTAGCGCTGTCTTGACAGGCAAGATTTTGACACCCAGGTGGGAGAGATGGGGCACTTCAGGCTCAAGATGCAGCAGTGTAAACAAAGACAGGAAGGGCTTGAACAAGGAGCAGCAGCTGGAGCTTATGTGAAGAGGGTTGGAGGGGCTCCAATTAAATGCTAGGTTAAGATGTTCAGACTTTCTTCTTTATGCAACGGGAGCAAAAGAGTGGGTTATAAGCGAGGTGCATGTCTGCAATTCCAGAAGCATGGGCAGGATGGACTGGTAGGAAAGAGACCAAACATGGGGTGCCAAGGTAGAAGGCTCTCTGAAACCAAACCAGAGAGAGAGCATTTGGCTGGGATAGAGTGGTTGAGTGGGAGGAGAGAGGAGGAACTGAAAGTGGTATGTTACGTGGATTTCACGGGTTTGCCAACTGATTAAACTTGGGGGGAAAGGAGGAAATTGGGCCAGTAATTTCCCTGAAGTTTTAAACACAGGCCGCTGAGCCCGTGGTGATGTCAGTGATTGAAACCGGGGTTTCCACTTGGACGAGTTCCTTATTTCATCCTGCACAGCATTTGCGGGGAGATAACAAGCAGGCAGTGCCCAGGGAGGACCTGCGCTCAGACAGGAAGGCAGGACCAAGATGCCCAGTTGGTTTTTCAGATTCACAGAGAACAGTGGGGTGGTGGCATTTGCCAAGGACAAGAACATCAAACTAAAAGCAGAAGGGAACACAGAAAGATACCACTGGGGAAAGGAGAGAGAAAGCCCAGAGATGGAGGGAGTCATGGGTGAGGGGAGACCAGCGTCGTTTTCCCTGAAGTCAGCATAGGAAGTCAGGAAGGAGCAGTCTGGGAAAGATGTCTGGGTTCTGTGGCTACAATACCTGGAGTCCCAGGAATCGGCCAGAGCACTTTAAGTGGAAAAACCAACAAGCCAGGTGGTATACAGAGTTTAATCGTGAACGGAGATGCATATGTGCTGGATTCCAGGACTAGCTCTACCCTGCCCTTACAGGATCGCTATGAGTCAGAATTGACTCAATGGCAGTGAGTTTGTTTTTTGAGAAGAATCCTAAAACAAAGCAAAACAAAAAGCCCTTTGTGCTCCTTGCTTCAGGAGGAGAGCTGCCCAGGGGTGCTTGGAGCCCAAGATCCAGGCAAGGTGTCACTGGCCATGCAGTGTCACCACAGTGCTTTCTGATGATGTGGCCTCAATGGGGGCTTGGCATTCCCTTTAACAGGGTCCCCATCCAGGATCAGCATCACAAGGCCAGGGACATCCACGAGCACTTATTTCATGGGAAGAGTCACCTGCACTTCCCACATACTGTCATGGCGTCTCGATTCCACTCATCTAGAGCCTAGAGAGGGTTTCTGAAGCTGTCAATCATAGGTGCCCAAACTCACTTGACCTACACTCCCTTTGCAGCAAAACACTACTCAGTGTCCTCCTGGCAACAGAAAGCGTTTGTGCTATAACCCATAAAGTGAAGCCACTGGTTTTTTTTAAATCATTTTATTGGGGGCTCATATAACTCTTATCACAATCCATACATAAATCCACTGTGTCAAGCACATTTGTACATTTGTCGCCCTCATCATTCTCAAATCATTGGCTTTCTACTTGAGCCCTTGGTTTCAGCTCCTCATTTTTCCTCCTCCCCACCATGAACCCTTGATACTTTATAAAGTATTATTTTGTCATGTCTTACACTGTCCGACATCTCCCTTCACCCACTTTTCTGTTGGAAGACACTGCTTTTGCAGCCCCTCCCACCCCCTATCCTTCCAGCCCCGCCCCAGGGAGTGACATCTCCCACTCTGGGAAACTGACACAGGAGCAGGCAACTCCGGCTTTTCCCTAAGGATTGGCTGGTGTATTTGAACCGCTGACCCTGTGGTCAGCAGTCCAACACTCTCCCGACAGCCCTACAGCCCTCGTACAGGCCAAAGGCAGTTGAGGAAGAGAAGGGAGGAAAGGAGAGAGAGAAAGTAAGCATGGCTCTCCTGTGTGTGTGCCCTGTCCTCGCCAAAATGGGCTAGTGACCCAAGAAGTGACAAGCAAATCCAAAGGGGTCGGTCCTTTTAAATCTTGTGCCTGGTTCATTTGAGATGCCTGCTGCCCAGCCCCTCCGTTCCCTCCCGAAACCTCGAGGGCTATGGCCGCTGAGAGAGAGGTAAGCAGACACTACCCAGCCTCTCGGAGGCCTTTGGGGCCTGAAGGTTCCTCTTCACCAACCTTTTCCTCCTCTCCCCAGGGAGTTCCAGTGGAAACTCTTCCCCGGAGTACCCCCGGAAAGAATTCGGTAGGTGCTCACCCTGCTTTCAGGCCGTGGGAAAAGCCTAGGGGTCCTATGGATTCTTCAAAGAGAGTGTGACCTCTTCCCTTGGTCCTGATCCCTGGGGCTCTGAGGGGACTGTCAGCCACATGAACTCGCTGTCACCGATCTTGACACTAACAAAGTGGCAAGTTCTAGAGACAAAGTTCAGGCGAGGACAGACATGCTCCTGCGGCCAAACAATACAAGGGGTGGGGGCTTCAGAACACTCATGGGAAAATGCCCTCATCTTTTAAATTCATTTTCTCACAAACTTTCTGCAGCCCCCTGACTTGTGGGGCTTCCACAGAGAGTCCCCCAGTGGGTATGGGATCACGCACATGCCAAACCTCTCGGGCTTGAACTACAGCTGCCTTCAAATCAGAACTCTGAACCCCTTTGAACCAGTTCAGTCATGGCCAACGAAGGGTTATGGAACAGACACTCGGAAGAGGTGTCGGGCGCCCCCTGCGTGGCGTGGCCAGGGCTGTGGAGCACAGTCGGTGGGGCCGCCGTCTCTGTGTATGATGCCCTTGTGTTCCCAGAGGGCGGCAGGACTTTGACCCATGGTTTTCCCCTGACCAGTTAGTCTTCCAGTTCTCCCACATTTTAAAAATGTTAGTCCCTTCCCACATACCTTCTTCACCCATCACTGAACCCGGCTGAAGCAGTTTGCAACCGGCATCAAAGGGGCACATTTTAGACCTAGTGAACTCCGAACCGTGTCCACACTTGGCCTTGAAATCCTTGGCTTCTGGTCTTAGAAACTCCTTGTGCCTGTGATCTAGTGACGTAGCTATTGAATGGCCACGGATTCTCATTGTATTCACGTATTTGCATATAATGGGAAAGCCAAGGCAGTCTGACCAAAAAATAATTGAAGGGAAAGATTCAGCAGTCTTTTGGATTCTTTTGATCCATGGAGTCAGCCAATCCAAGTGGATCATGCTCCCACAAGGGTTGAACCAAAGGGTCCTTTAACTCACGAGGTGCTCATCATTCATTAAGTGCCCTGCTGAGTATGAACATGGATAGAGCTACCTGGATTTAAACATACTGTGAAAACGCCACCGCCCCACTCTGCCAAAACAAACTTACCTCGGTGCCAAAAACAGTCAGCACGCCACCTCTACATATGCCTGAGATAACTTCCTGTTTGTTTGTTTGTTTGTTTCTCAGCATCTTCCTCAACCAGAGGGCGCAGCCAAACTCGAGGTGAGTTCGACCTCGGCTTCTGCTCATTCAGCAAGTCTTTTCTAAGAAGAGTTGTACGATCATCACCACAATCAATCGCAGAAAAGTTTCTTTGTTCTTGTACTCATTGTTGTTAGCTCCCCCAGATCCCCCCAACATCCCCTGCCATCTCCCCAAGAAATCACTAATCCAATGACTGTCTCTATAGATTTACCTACTCTGGATTTCATATACAAGAAAAACATTCCCCCCAGCCCAAAAAAAAGAAAACAAAACCTAACAACAGTAAGAGAGTAAAACAGAAAAGGCTCCATTGAAAAGGAAGCAGAAAATATTAAAAACTAGAACCAGTTTAAAATGATCAAAAGAGAGATCAGATGAGAAGTGACCGCACCGGCAACCATTCGCTTTCCAGTGCACTCTGCATGATAGTAGGGCATTGAGGTTCAACCATGTGTTTTCCCCTTCGTGTAAATTAAACCAACAAACCAAAACCACCTTTTATCTTTTAAGCTATTCCAAGAGACACGCAACCGTTTTGCAGTTGCCCCATCTGCCCCGGGCTCAGGACAAATCTGAGAAATGCAGTCCTGGGAAAACCTTCCCTGATAAACTGGGGAGAGGGTGGCGAGGAGCATGTTGAGCTGAACTGAAGCACTCGGGGTTCTCCAATGACCATCCCAGACTTCTGCGGGCCTCCTCGTCACCAGTAACCTGAAAGTCGGCATCATAATGAACAGCCACCGCTTTAGACTACAATTCTGAGGATGCAGATCATCCATGTAAAGCTAACTAGCAACCTTAAATGACCAACTAACTCCCTGCTCTTCCCATTTCTGACAAGTCTAAGATGGCTAACTAAACCTGCCAGATTTCAGACCCCTCTCCAGCGTCTAAGAGATCAGGGGGCTAGAGAGAAACTCGCTTCTGTCAAGGGAGAAATAGGTGATGGGCGAGGGGGTGATCCCCACTGGTTGGCATGGAGTCTCCTTGCCTGGCCTGCGATCTCCTGAGAAGGTCTCCTTGAGGCTGAGAGGTGAGGCTGGCAGGCTGAGTGGCAGCAAGAGTGCCCTTTTTTAAGCAGTATTCTTTCTGAGCACACATAGGGGGCTCTGTGCCCAGGGCAGGGGTCTCAGAGCTCAGAGTTGGGCCGTGACCCAGACGCCTTCCTTCACTGTCTTCTCTGCCTCTTCCCTTATACAGAGAGTGAAATCCGGGTTCGACTGCAGAGTGCGTCCCCATCTACCCGATGTAAGTGGTCACTATCCTACTGAAGGAAAGGGACCCAGGAGCCAGGGGCTAAAGGTTAAAGCTCTCTCCGTGTGCAAGCACACACACTGCACCCTCCATAGAACGCTCTCTATGGACCTTCTGTGAGCCAGACCCTGTGCTGACGCCCAGTGAGCCCCAGGCCTGCCAGTCAGCACTTGGCCGACAGCAAAGGGAGCGCCAGGGTCGTTTGACCCAGGTCAGCTCAGCCTGGGGAGGGAAGCACAGGTGGAGTGGCCCGAAGGCCACCTGAGGGATGGGCACTGGGGTTGGTGTCACTTGAACTGAGAGCGAAGGGCAGACAGAGCAGAGTTCAGTTCAGAACCAGCATGAGACAGCCGAGGAGCGGGGAACAGTCTGGCGTGGCTGAAGGGAGTGGGGCAGGAGCGGAACTGATAAAACAATGCCAATCGGAGAAAAGTCAGACTCCAGAACATGAGCAGCTGTGTCCTAAACATAAAGGATTTGAACGTTCGCTCCAATGTCAGGTATTCCCCGGTCTCTGACTATTAAGTAAATGTGCTAGATAGACCCCTGTTGTTCTCAGAAGTTCTTTAACAACATTGTTAAATGAGCCAAACTTTGAGGGGAGAAGCCTAGTTGCAGGGAGGAGGAGGAAGAGTTTGGTAAAGCAGTGGCAGAAGCAGAATAAGGCCTTGTCCTGCGGCCCTGGGAGCTGACCCCCGGGTCTGCTGCTTACACCCGAGTCCTTCCAGGCTTCGGAAGTGGAGGAGCACTTGGAGGAGGTAGCGGGGAGGACTTGCTCAGCATGTGTGGTCTGGAGATGTGTCTGCTCCCGTCGTGTGAGCTGGCCCTACACCATGGCTCTCTCCTCTCAAGTTGGCCCTGCTATGGGAACTGGCTCCCGCAGCTTACCTGGCGCACATAGCATCGACCAAATCCACTTGAACTTAAATCGAGTAAAAGCATCATAATGTGTGGGAATCATGGGTCACAAATTCCTTCTGGCACGTCCAAGCACACAAGGTCGGGGAGCCTCCTCCTCAGGTGCCCTGTGCTTGAAGGTGATACTATCGCTGAACCATCTGTTTCAAGGGACCATGTTCTAAATCTCCACCTCCCCCATCTTTCCCGTACAAGGTGACAGTGTCTTCCGGTCACAGAATCCCCCTGGTGGGGTCTGACGGGAGCTAATGAGGAACTATCTCCCAAGGACCCTGGACTTTTTTATGAGAGACCCATTTTATGAGACTATTACTATTACAAAGTGCCGGGCTGCTAAGTGCTATAAATTGGCAAAATATGAAAATGATAAGGTGTCCCAGGATGTCCAACAGATGCCGTCCTCCCTGATATTCACATGGCCATAAATCTGCAGGTGGGCTCAGGCTGGAATCCTGGGCCTCGTGGGAAAGTCTGGGGCTTCTCTGACAGGGACCGAATTGGATGATGTTAAGCGCTTGCTCAAGGGGAGCCGATCGGCCAGCACCAGCCCCATACGGACCTGCTCCAACACACTGCCCATCCCCAAGAAGGGCACCGTGGAGACCAAAACCATGACAGCGAGCTCGCAGTCAGGTAAGGCCCCAGAGCAGGCCTGCCAGGGAGGGAACGGAGCAGGGGGCAGGGTTGAACCGTCCCCTGGTAGCTTCTCAAGCCATGGCAGAGACGTGGGCTGTCCCCTTCTTCGTCTCTCTGGTCAACCATCCCACCGGCACTCTGTCGTGCTCTCTATCCTAGAGATTCTGGACCATAGACTGTGTTCACCAGGTTCCCTGAATGAAGGGTGACAGCTGTAGTCAACAGCTATCTATGGCATGCCCACTCTTTGCTACAGAGTGGACGGGCAGCAAAAAAAAAGAGAAAGGCTGTCTATGAGATGGTTTACACAGTGACTGCACCAGTGGGTTCAGGTGTGGGCATGACTGTGAGGCTGGCGCAGGACTGGGCAGGGTCCTTCGTGGACCTGACTCAATGGCCCCTGGCAACAACAATGACATCTTTGCTGAGCACCAAGCACTGAGGAAAAGCAATGAACAAGATGGACACAGTCGCTGGCCTCCTGGGGATGGAAGTCTCCGGAGAAGACGATCCGTTAACCACGTGATCAGAGTGGAGTGGGATGAGGGTTGGGCAGCACAGGGATAGCAAGCCGGGCTCTGAGGGAGACAGGCAGGTGAATAGGAGAGTTCCTGGAAGGGAGGCAAAGGGGGAAGCCAGGTTTGCTAGGCTCTCGAGTTTTCTTCTCCTTCACTGCTAACATCATGGGCCAATTGGTGACCTTTTGTTTGTTTCAGTATAAAATAAAAAACTCAGGGCACTTGCTGGCCTGCATGGCCGAGTTAGTATGGAAACATTCTCCTGGATGCACATTGCCCCTTGTGTCTGACTGGCACATAGGAATAGTAAAGTGCCATCCTGCTGGGGCCTCAGAATCAAGGGCAGGACATGCACCGGGCATTGGCCTCAGGGCCTAGAATTCTGCTGGATGAGATTCCTTTCTGCGGTCTTCTTCCCTGGTCCCAAGAGAAGTACTCGTTAGCATCTTGGAAGGTGGGGAAGTCAACAGTACATTAAAGTAAGATCAGAGGTGGCAGCAGCGCCCCATGGAGGCAGGGTAAAAGTCTCAGAAAGAGAAATAGGAGGACCCCATAGTAAGATCTGGCTCCCTCAAATCTCATCAGGAGCCAACAAGAAGTTCTAACTCAAGAGAAGAAGTCTTCACTGGCTCTGAGAGTCAAGTTCAGGAAAGTCCTAGAAAACTGGGACACATCGGTTCTCTGCGTGTCGAGACCAATGTTGGTTTTCCTTTCATCGGGGTGTGTGTGTGTCTGTTTCCAGTGTCGGGGACCTACGATGCAACCGTCCTGGACGCCAACCTTCCCTCCCACGTGTGGTCCTCCACCCTGCCGGCGGGGTCTTCTATGGGAACCTACAACAACATGACCACGCAGAGCTCCTCGCTCCTCAACACCAATGCCTACTCTTCAGGATCAGGTCTGTGACAGCAAGCACCCCTCCCTCCCTCGAACCCGCAGCACCCTGACCCTGGAACCAAGTGATTTCTGTCCCAGACATTCTGCTGGAATTTCCATGTAATCCGATCACTCGGGTATTTCTGCAGGTAGGTCCCCAAGAAAAAGGACTACGTAGCAGAGCACAGTGTGTGTTGGGGGACAGGGGTGCATGTGTGAAGATGCCGTGGAAAACACATGGGACGCAAAGGCAGGAAACGCAGCCTCACGGACTGACTGTGTGCCCTTGAACTGAGGGGCTTACGTCTCTAGTTTGCAGGCGCCTTCCCTGCAAAATGTGGGCACTGAGAAGCAAGAGCCTCTGGGGGCCCCCACGGGCCTTGAGTCTGCACTGGAGGTTTTGCCTCTCCAGCTACCATCCCAAGTTCACCACGGTTCACGTTGTAATCTCCGTGGCCAAGCAAATGACTACATTGGTCCCGAGATGAGAAATGTACCAAACTAGACCAACACAACCGTGGCGTCTGTGTCCTTGTTCGGGGCCTGCCCCTCTCTCTCTCTCACCAGCTTGCCTCCTCTCCTGCAGTGTTTGGAGTTCCAAATAACATTGCGTCCTACTCGCCCACGCTGCCCCCGGGCCTCAGCACCTGCTCCTCAGGTCAGTGCCCCACCCCACCACCCCGCTCCCCCACAGAGAGGCACCGTTTCTAAGCTGACGGCTTTTTGAAAAAGAGGAGGCTCTCTCCTGGTGAGGAAAGAAAAGAGTGTAATGAAGTCGTCCTTTCTGCCCATGAGGGTACCTACTGTCCCTCCACGCCCAAGGAAAGCCATGGGGTGCATTTAGAGAGCAGGCAACACTGATCCTGCCCTTGGTCGTAGGCAGCCTTTAGTACCTCAAGGAAAGGCAAGAAAGTGAGCTCAGAGACCCGGCTTCCATGCTTCCCCTGGGCTCGCACCTTCATCTTCTGTGCACGTTGGAGAATAGAACTGAAAGGCCCGAGAGAGCAATGCATTAGGCATTTTCTGTTAGATCCTGTGCAAACTCCTGCTATCAATTGTGTGGCTCTAACTACCCCGTGTACAGAACCCTGAGTCATTTCTCTTGGCCTGGGGTAGAGAGGTGAGGACTTGCAAATATATAGAGAGATACAACTAAGACATAAAGGGTCTCAGGTACTGAAAACATTTGACAGCGCCTTCCAGATACAGTGGCATTTCTCAGGGAAGTGGTTTGGGATTTGGGGAGAGCTTTCCTTGAGGGGCCTTCCCTCTGTGCTGGACCCCGCATTCATCCCTCCTCAATTCCTTTCACAGTGTTTGGCATGCAGAACAACCTGGCCCCCAGTTCGACCACCTTGTCCCACGGCACGGCCACCACGGCCACAGGTCAGTAGCCTGGAGTTAGGGCTTTGGGACAGAGGAGCAGCATCCCTTGACAGCTATAACTCACAATATCCCTTTCTAGTCACTGAATTCGAGGGGCCAAACTATTTCCTAAAGACAATGGACTTCCCCCACCCACCCCCCCCAAAGTAATCCACGATCTCCTCCCATCTAGATGAGCCAGCCTTCGTCACTTGCTGGTTCCACCCTGTGTTCAATGCAGCGGGGGAGCCTGCACTCTCGATGGTACTTACGCCTCGCTCTCTCAAGGTCAAATTGATGGGGCTGGTGGTCTCCTCAGGTCACTTCTGTCCTGGACAATGCTGTCATTGTCCCTGACAGTCGGTGACTGTCTGACTTCATGGTACAACTCCCAGGCCACGGCCCCTGAGGTGGGCGGGCACAGTTCAGAAGAGAAGTAAGACTCAGCCTATGCCCTCAACTTGCTTGCCGCTGAGAGGATCCAGTGAGACAACCCAGGGGGCCCTGCTGGCCTAGTGGTTAAGTCCTCAGCTGCTCACCCAAAGGTCAGCAGTTCAAGTCCACCCACCACAGCATGGAGAGAACAAAAGACCTGATGACCTGTCCCTGATCCAAGGAGAGACTAGGACACCCAGTGGGAAGTTCTACAGGGGCATCCTGAGTGGAAACTGCCATCCCATTTGGTCTAAGACGTGCACGTTGAGTGACACCGGGTGCAGAGCAGGTAGCAAGAACTGTAGGAGTTCAGAAGGAAAGGAGATGGGTATCTCAAAGTGGGTGATAGCACAGTGTGTGTGTGTGTGTGTGTGTGTGTGTGTGTGTGTGTGTGTGTGTGTGTGTACACGTGCGGAAACAGGACAGGAGCGATCCCGGAGAGCTGCAGAAGCAGATACCTATACTTTATCCTGGATATAGTATAAGCTTCTCAGTGCCAAGGGAGTGCTGAGTGATTTTTTTTTTTCCTTAAAAGGAGCGGTAGGCCAAGTAAGTATGGGAACCTAGGAAGGATAGAGAGGATTGTACCAAAGAAGGTTCATTCTAAACCTTCATCTCTGCCCACCTGCTGGAGGGGGTCGGTTCATCATCTGCTTCTCAATTGGAAAGGGCGCCTCTCTGCCAGGGCTGGTGGAGCATTTCTACTGTGCGCCCCACCCCCTCGCCCCACCCCTCCAGGCAGGCCAAGCTTAGTAGGTTCCTCTCTTGCAGGATACGGAGTCAAGAAGAACATGCCCCAGAGCCCTGCTGTTGTGAGCACGGGCATGTCCACCTCTGCAGGTGAGTGTGCTGCACGTGGCAGAGTTGCCCAGCCTTGGGCTCAGGCACAGCCCCTCGTGCAGGTCTGCAAAAGCAACTCATCCTAAGAGGCTCTCCGATGTTTCCAGGAGTGATCCAAGAGGACAATCTATCAGCCCTGTGACCCTGGCCTTCCTGTCCCAGGGGCAGGGAGCGCCATCCTCCACACCTGCCTGCCTAGAATCAGTCCCCATCCTTGAGTGGTACCTCCTGGCCTCCTCCTGTGGCATGCACCTCCTCCCGAGAGCCCCGAAGCCCCCGTGCAGTGGCCAGGAACCTGTCCTTCTTGCTGTAGACCGTATCTCGCTCGGCTCCCAACCTCATCGGGGGCTATTTGCTTGATTGCGCTGATCCTCCAGGGCTCCATCCCACTCTTTCTTTCTTTCCAAAACTGTTGGCTGAGTACCTGCTTTGTAGCAGACAGACACAGGGGTGGGGGTCGGGGTGGGGGGTGGAAGCCTTGAACAAGACAAGCTATATTCCTGCTCGCCAAACTAACAATTCCTGGGAGGGCAGGCAGAGGCTATGGGAGTCAACAAATCCACATGCAAGATAATTACAGAAAATGATCGGTGGTTTGGGGGGCAGGAACGAAGTGAGGTGAGAGAGACGGGAGGGCGTGGAGGAGCGGGGAGGCAAGAAAGGCTTCACTGCGCAGGTAACAGTTGAGAGCTGCAGTGAGTCTGCCACGTTAGTAAAAGACAGGTCTTGCCCGCTTGCTAAAGAGCCTGAAACGCTCTGTTTGGCAGCAGCTCCCGAGGCAAGTGTCCAGCCCTTGGAAGTGTAGCCGACAGGCCACGTCCAGCCAAGCAGGGGAGGCATGCCCCTGGTCCCCAAGAACTGTCATGGGGAGCACTGTGGGTGACAGCAGGAGCCGAGCTCTCCCCTCCCCGTCTCCTGCACCCATCTCATCCTTCTTCCTCCTCTTCTGCTCATTGCCCCCACCCCACCACTCTTCCTCTGCCTCACCCCTTCCTCTCCTCTGCAGCCAGCACCACCGCTGTCCAGAAGGAGGAGATTCTGCACAAGGACTGTAAGTTCCTGATCTTGGAGAAAGACAACGTGCCTCCCAAGAAGGAGATGGAGCTGTTGATCATGACCAAGGACAGCGGGAAGGTCTTCACCGCCTCCCCGGCGACCATCGCTTCAAGTAAGGTCCCCCAGGACTCGGGCTGCAGATGAAAGGCAACGAGCATAAGAACCTGGGTGTCCCAGCAAGGTGGTGACTGTCCTTGTCCGAAGGAAACCCCAGTCATCCCATTCCTGGGGGAAATGCCTGCCCAAGGAGGGTGTCCCCGGATCTGCCTCAACTACAGATAGCAGGAAACCTCCGGCTAAGGGTCCCCACGGGGCCTCTGGGCCATAGCAAGTCTCCTACACTCACTCCAGGGCGGGCAGGTGAACTGCAGGAAAACGGAACCCTCTACCTACCTGGTTCACCTCAACCTCTCAAAGCAGGAGGGTAGAGGCAGGGCTGGGGCGCAGGGAGAGGGACTGGGTTCTCATCGGCTTGGTGCACAGCTTCATTTTCAGAGGACACCCTGAAAAAAGAAAAGCAAGCCACCTACAATGCTGACGCCTACCTGAAGTCTGAAGCTAATGGTAAGAACAAAGTGGAGAGCCGTCCACCCCAACTTCAGCCAACCCACAGCCCACTGCTCGTCCCCTGAGACCTTCACATGCAGCACAGTCTTGGGCATGCAGCATCGGCAACACTTGCTAGAGGGCAGACTCTCAGCCTCTATCCCTGACCTACTGGCGCGGAGCCTGAATGTTAGCAAGCTCCCTATTGAGTTCCCCTGCACACTGTTGAGACACAAGTCTTCCTTAGATGTATGTAGAATCCAAAGGGGAGTGGGGGTGGGGGGGTTGTTTCCACCTCACTCACCCTCCCATCATTTTCAGAACTTGAGGGGAGGGGAATGCTTTGCAAGGTACTTCCTAGCTTTTTTGTTTTTTCCTCCCCCCCCCTGGATATCTGGATCCTTTCCTGAATATCTGTATTTCCTCACAGGCACTGAGCTCTCTAGAATCCATCACTGAAGTGCCCCTTACAGGGAGGGCAGGCAGGAAGGGAAGGGTTAAGTACAGAACATTGTTAAAGACATGCACAATTAAACCATCTGCAGTTCTGAGGTGGGGGAGATTGGAGCTAGATCTTTTT